ACCTAATTATGCTAGGTAGATTAATTAAGGCTTTCTCTAACCTAAAGTGTCAATTATAAAATTAAAGAATTTAGAGGAATAAAACTAAAATAGAGGTTCTAATATTATCCCTAATTTATTTTAAACAACTATTTAGTCGAATAATCAAAATAGTCCTCTGGACATGTTAAATGCGAAAGCCAATTCAGGTTATTCCCTAAATTTAAAGGACTGAGGTAAAATTAAACAAAAAGTGGAGGCTCTAATTAACCCTCGTTTATTTTAACCAATTATTTAGTCGAATAATCAAAATGGTCCTCTGGGCATGTTAAATACGGGAGCCAATTCAAATTATTCCCTAAATTAAGGGACTAAAGTGTGAGAAATTTAAAATGGAGGCTCTAATTGTTATCCCTAATTAATTATGTCAATTATAGAATCGAATAATCAATTTGGACATTCGGGCGTGTTAATGAGGAGGCCAAATTTAATTATTCCATAATTTTAAAAGTTTAAGGACTAATTTTAAAAAGTTTTAAAGTTTAGGGACTACATCTAAAGTTAAAGTGTTAGGATATTCAATGAAGCTCAATTGACAACTGAATATTGCTAAGAGGGGTTGAAGTGGATTTGAGAAAAATTTAGGGATTAAGGAGATTTAAAAGATAAGAAAATGGATGCACAAGAATTTATAGTGGTTCGACTTCTCAACCAAGTCTACATCCACTACCTTAGCTCCTCACTAAGGATTTTCTAACAAATTCATTAATTTATTCTTTCTTTTTCATAGGATAAAGAGATAATCTTTACAAATTCTGATCTTTTCAATCGCTAAGATAGAACCACTCCACTTTTACAAAAGGTATAAAGAATGTAAACAAGAAAACCTCACAAGGAAGGTGTTTACAAAAGTAAGCTCACAAAAACACTAATATTTACAAGAGAAAGGAAAATAAGAATGAAAAAACTCTTCTCTTGTGTTTGATTGCTTGGATAGGTGTTCTAATCCTTCTTCAATTGTCATTAACTTGTTTTTATAGGTTGGAATGTGTTTGTGGCCATTTTGAGCCGTTGGGGATGATTTGGAGCCATTGAGGATAATTTTTCTGCAAATTAAAATGCCCAGTACAGGGATATCGGTACTCATTTAATGAGTATCGGTACTTCCTTTAAAATTTTTAAATCAACTAGCCATTACTAGCCGTTGGGCTTGACTAGTATCGATACTATGCTCATGGTATCGATACTGGTGTGTAAAGTACTATCGGTACTCCTTAGAGTATCGATACATATTTTGCATTCTGGAATTTGAGCTATTTGAAAAACACTTGGTAGTATCGATACTACCTTGAGAGTATCGATACTTCTCTTACCTTTGGTATCAGTATCACGTGAACAGTATCGGTACTGTTCATGCAGTATCGATTCTGTAAGAACAGCATTGGTACTACATACCTAGAAAAACATGTTTTGTGCTCAAATTCTAGTTTAATGAACTTTGAATTATTTTTGAAAACTTTTAAAAACTTTGAACAAATTAAATTCAAGTCCAAAAACATTTTATCTTAATTTGTTATATCAAAATATTATAAAACATAGTTCAACATAAAGTATTCTCACTAAGGATTAAATTAAAATTAACCTAAACCTAAGAGTACTACTATGCTAAGGCTAAAATGTTATCAACTAGAACAAGTCACAATTAAATAAATAAGATAATGGTAAGCTAAAAACAATCCAGAAATAAAATTAAAAAAGTAACAACCAAAGATACAATGGCTAAGATGTATGAAAAGCTAATCTAAAGGGACTTAAACATGATAATTTCTTTTCAATCCAAACAACCAATCATCAAATTAAAGGGAAAATATCATATTAAATACCCCAATTTGAAACAATAACAAACATTATTCAAATAGATGACCATATTGCAAGAACAAAGCAAAATCCTAAAGACTAAAAGCCAAATTTACATTTTATGCTCTACAACATGCTTTAAAAAACTAAAGGGAAAATAACCAGATTAATGCTTCGATTTAAAACTAAATAATGTAAGAAACTAGAGATTAGTGATCTAAACGCAAATACTCATAAATCATGAGGATATAAAGTGTAATAGTCCAACCCATAAAGCTCAGGTTCCGACCGCCATATATTGGCGACCATTTCAACTTCCAACGGCCATTTATGACGGTCGTAGATACTAACCAGCCCTAAACCACTTTAACTCACTTGATTTGAGTCTCTTAGGCCTAGGTCTAAGTTAAAACCTCAAAACTAACTTTCCTCCCCCCAAAACATTGAAATTCCCTTTAACCCTTCGACCTCCTATGCTTTAGCCACCACCATAGTTGTCAAGTGACTTAAAACCTAGGCCTACATTATCTAAACCCTCTCATTCCCCCTTTGAAAACCTAAAATATACCTAGATAACTCCCAAACATAACCCTCTTAAGCACCCTTCAACACTTCGCTCTTCAAATCTCCATCATCAACTACGACTCCGACGAAGGTTAAAATGACTCCTAAGGTAAACATACTTAGCAAGGGAATACAATGTAACCCTAGCCGCTCTCTCCCTCTTCCTCTCTTCCTCTCCTTTTTTTTTTCTTTACAACTTGTACCAATTTCTATCGATCAATACAACTTTTTCTTCTTTGATTTTGTTAGCCGACGGCGGTACAAGTTTTGATACTGGTTGTCAACCGCCGATTGTCTTTTCTCTTTTTTAGTTTCTAATAATAATAATTTTGACTTTATGGCAAGTTTATTTGTGCCTTTATAGAAGTTTTTTCTCTTCTTTTTGGTAGTTTTCAGTCGTTTGGCCGTTATTTTCATTTATTTATTTTCTCAGGATTAGATTTGACATTGCCACGACTGATCAAGATGGCTTCTATTTGTTATCATGTTGATGTTCTCTGCTTTGAACCCTCATATTGATTTGGATACTCTTTTTGTGCTCGTGAATAGTTTTCTCACGTCGCTTTATTCTAATTTGCGATTTTTGGTGGCCTTTCAGTAGTTACATTCCCTTTTGTGGTTCGTTTGCCGATGTAGTCAGATTTATTCGTATCTTTATTTTGTTCGAGCATTGGTTAGGTTTTTTAACCTTTTAACTTTATTGGTCATTGTGTGGTCTAGGTGACTAGTTTTTGTGTCAATGTTTATAGGAAAATGTCCTAATTATAATTTAGTTTACGTTTACGGTTTATTTTTAAATCTTCATTGTAATTCTGGATATTTTCTATTTTTAATAAAACTAGTTGTTTTTTATAAAAAAAAACTATTTTCAAAACTATATAATATATACTATATACTATTATAATATAATATTTTTCCGTTAAGCTATATATATAATAAAATAAAAATAAAATAAAAGATGAAATATTTATCCGGAGAAAAACGTGTGCCTACAAGTTACAAATTAGATTCCCTATTATGCACTTCGATTGTTCACGAATTAAGGCTATATTTGATGGAAAGGTAGAAAGATACAAGGGTGATTATGTTATTTAACCACAGGAGTGGGAAAAAGCTGATAGTTACGTATATTGTGATGTACACAAAATCGGATCTGAGCGTATATGTAGGCGTTGTTCAACAGTACTTTTGATTCACTTTTTGTGTTGAAGATCTATATATGGAGTGCCGTCATTTTCTTGGCAATTTTTAATGTACTTTTCTGTAGTCGTATTAATATGATCATTTTGTAAATTTTGGTGGTCTTATGTCATAACAGTAAAATAGACTTTTTAAAATTAAAATATTAGATATATAAAGTTCACTAATATTTTAAAATTTATTATAAGTACAAGAAAACGTTAAATAGTGGTAAAAAATATCTTCATGTAATAATGTGAGCCTTGGACTTAAAATTTTTTGGGTCAAACATCCTAAATACACATATATACAAAAGATTTAAAAAAATTTGGAAACCCTTATAAAAATTAAACCATGTGCGGTTGGACAGCCCGCACAAACCCAAAACCGGCCTTGCGTATTAGTATAATGGCACCCTAACTTGGACTTGATTTTTTGGCAGATTGAGATACATAACGGTATCAGCATTTCACGTTAGATATGATGATAGAACGGCCTCCCTCAAAGTTGGGATGTATGGAGAATTTAGATTAACTTGGTTACACTATAACAAAGTTTTAGTTTGGCTTAGAACATAAAGACAAGTTTGGTCAAACTGGCCTCCCAACTTTTTCTCAATCAAACTGCCCTTGATTTTTTCTTTCATTCAAATTGTCCCCTTACTTTGAAAGCATGATACGAAATAGCCCCTAAGATTAAGGTAGTAACATTATCGGCAAAGATGGGTTTTAAAGTCCATTTTCAGAAATTAATGTGTTAATCTTAGGGTCATTCTTTTGAAGTTCAAAGGAATAATTTGATCGAAAGAAAAGTTTATTCAAACATGTAGCTGCCTCAATGCTATTTCGTACCATATCAAAACTGCGTGCTCAGCATGTAGAAGACATCCCGATTCCAATTTATAGGCTAATCCTTCCTCTTTAATATAATTTAATAGAGAATATGGTCAATTCAGCATCCTCAATTGATGTCTAATTTTCTATTAAAAACAGAATTATTCCTTAATAGCCAAATTTGCCAAAGGAAGAAGTAGAACAGACTGTCAGGTGGTCCAGTCACCATGGAGAGGATGTGCTGAAGCTCAGTCTACTACTCTTTGATAGGACAATACCTCGAGATATGTCGGATAACTCATTATCATCCATTCAAACTGGCCAATAATGGTCCACTTGCGTAAGCTGTACATTGTGACAACTTGTCTTAAGAAATGCACACAAAAGAAAAAATTGAAGGACACTTCTATAGATCAAATTTGATATCATTAATTCTGATTTACTCTTTCAGCTTTCACATAGAAATCAAGATGATTTTCTAACGCATTCATATACCTAGTAGAATCCATTAGCTTGAAAAGAAAATTCAAAAAGTTCACACAAACAACAGATTCTTGGGGACTCCAAAAACACAAGTTATGCAACTCACTAATAATCATCCGACACTTCTGCCTCCTTTTGTGCTGCAGCTGCAGGGGCTTCCTTATCAGAAGAAGCTTCTTCCTCCTGATTAAAACAACCAAGTGAGATGTTTGTCACAACAAATGAATAACGAAAGAACCATGGACCACAGGCAGCTAAATCAAATGTTTGAAGAAAAAGGTAATGATGCCTTACTTCCTCTTTTTTAGCCTTCTCATACTCAGCCTTGAGCTCAGCAGCTTTATCAATGTAACACTTCTTTTCCTGGTTTGAATCATCATAAGTCATTAGTAAACAAGTATAATTAAAATTATTGAATACCAACAACTTACCTCATCATACATGGATCTCCATTTCTCACCACCTTCTTTCGCAACCTAAGTTTCATCTTCAAAATGCTCATTACACAATTTTGTTCTCAAGAGAACCATGTCAAGCACAAAAGTGAGAAATGAGTACCCCCTGTAACACCCTTTGCATCTGGATTTGCTTCCTTATAAGATTTCCTAAAGTCGTCCCTGAAAAAGTAACAAGGGAAACCTATCAGCAGTACCCTGGGATTAATTAATACAAGGAAAAATAAACAGTAAACCAAGGGTCATTACATGAACAAAAAGAAGGCAGTAGGAGGATGTTTGGGTGCATTAGGACCTTTCCCCCTTCTCAACTTCTTCGGCTTTTTAGCGTTTGGTTCTGTTGTTGAAGGTTTCTTCCTGTACAACTATCAGAAACATAAGCAAATCAAAACCAAATATGAAACTTCAAAAGAATATTCGTCGATGTAAACAATATCTTTCTGCAGGTTTCTTATTGGCTTCAGCAGGCTTCTCAATAACTTGAGCCTCTAAATTAAGAAAACAAAAGTAAAAACGATAAGGAAAAAATCCCACCATGAAAAATATTGCTTCAGTTATGTGAATGAAACTGGGAGACTAAGTGACTAACCCAAATTCATTTTGATTTTAGCTTCAAGGCTACAGCTATGCATATTGATAAGGGTCACCGGTACAGTTTTGTTACACTCGTCACTGCAAATCCAGGGTTGAAAATTAAGAATGAATCTTCAAATATTTGAAAACGAGGCTTGGATTGAGATTACCACTTGGCAAACGCACTGCCATCTCTGGCGCGGACAAGAGAGGCGGTTGAAGCAGCGTCGACTCTCTTCCTAGGCTTTGGTGGGTTGGATTTGGATCCGCCTGCTATTTTTCTTTGTGCTGAGAAAACAACTAAACGAATCGAACAGGATGGTGGTATTTGGGGAGAAGAAGAATAGAGGGAAATTGGGTTATTTGGCGCCACCGCCTTTTTCATTTTCCGGGCAATTTGGTTTAAATTTTTGAACGAGTTCATTACCACCGTAGGATTTTCAGTTTCTTCAAATCGACGCCTGACGTGGACGCAACCTTTGGGCCTCAATAGGCCCTATGAATCAAAATAGTAGGGAAACTATACCAATTACTAACATTACAATTTACACAATTGGTAAATATACCTCATCTTCTGTTTCCGTTTATATTTATGAATACAAATAATAAAGCTTTCCAATTAGTGATAAATAATAAAGTTTTGTTTAGACGTCATGATTTCAAGCATCAACGTTGTAGGTTGTGTACATTATTAAAGGTTAAAAAATATTTTAAATAAATATTATCTTTTAATTAGAGGTGAGTAAAACTCTACTCGACTTGAAAATTAATTTTTGCTGACTTGAACTGAATTAAGTTCGAGTTTTATAATCGAATAACTTAAATAGTAACTCAAATAAATCATTTTTTAGTAATTATTATATTGATTTTCAAGCTTAATCAAGTCTATTGACTCTATATGATTTATGTATATCAAAATCACATATGAATATATATATATATATATATATATATATGGTTATAAAAACCATTAAAATTAGAATCAAATAGTATCATAATATTATAAATATTTGCAATTAAACTTAAACGAAAACTCAAAAACTTGACTCGAAAAATTTCAAATAAAGTTTGAGTTATAATATATAAATCGTCAACTCGATTAAGTCAAAAAAAATTTACTCAACTCGACTTGATCGAACGCTCACCCCTACTTCGTATCACCGCATGTTCAAAGAAAACTTTCATCCAACCAATTTGTTACCACTTCTACAAAAATACATAGTTCAATGTCTATTATTTTATTTGATGATTTTATTTAATATATACAGGGGCAGGATCAACTTACACTATGTAAAACTAATATGTTTTACCCTATTTTATAGTCATTAGATTTAAATAAATAAATGACTTAGATTTAATTAAAATTTATAACTCATAAATAAATTTCTTTTAAATTATAGTAAAACAATATTTCCTTTTACCACAGTCACAAATCTTAAACTATAAACCCTAAAACCTCATATTCCATCTCAAACTTCAAACCCTAAATAACACATCTTAAACTCTAAATCATAAACCCTAAACTTTAGATATCAAAGAGTAAATCTTAAACCCTAAATCTTAGACCTTAACCCTAGAAAGAAAAAATTGTATTTTATTGTAAGTTAAAAAAATATTTATTTATGGTTTACAAACTTTAATTAAACCTAAACCATTTATTTATTTAAATCTAATAATTATAAATTGTGTAAAACTTATTAGTTTTACATAGTGTAAGTGGGTCCTAACTAATGTATGTATGTATGCATGGATGCATGGATGACTAAGATCAAAATACATAGTGTAAAAGTTTTTAGTTTTAAATATTTTTAGGATCGTTGGATGAGGAGAAATCAAGATTAATAGTAGGAAGTGAGAAGATATTCACTGGGAAAAAATGAATTAATCTCAGTCTTTGATTACCCCTCATCCACGATCCTAAAAAAGTGTAAAACTAAAAGTTTGGCATTAGGTGTTACTACATCCTAACTCATATATCTTGTTATTAATCATTTAATTATTATTTTTTAAAACTTTGATTATTTAACAATTGATAATTATAATAAATAAAATAACTTTTATGGAATTGATTAAAATAAGTGTAAACTATACAGGTGACCACTAAACTATGGTCAAAAATCATTTTGATCACCAATGTTTTAATTTGATCAAACAGACCATCCAACTATTTAAATGTTTCAATTAAGCCACATGCCTTTAACAGGTGACATGGCAGTTAAAAACATTTTGGTATAATTACGCAATCAGTCCATGTTACTTATATATTATTTCACTTTGGTTTTCATTTTAGTAAATTAAAATAATGACATGTTTCATCAGTCAATTGAAAAGATTAATTTGTTTTAATTTATTTTTAATTTATAAATTTACTTTCCTCCAATCAGAGGGTGAAGGGGGAAGCATCAAACCATTGGGCCAAGGGATCCATTTGGTTATTTTCATACAACAAATACTATATATATTGTATCTTAGTAAATTTTTCTTTAGACAACAAATAATATAATTAATAAATAGAAAAAGAATATTTTTTAGATTAACAAAAAATACATATATAAAATATTAAAATAATAATAAAATATTTTAAGTTAATATATTTTAAAAATATATATTTTTAAAAATTAAGATAAAAATAAAAATATTTTTAAGTGAAGATAAAGATAAATATATATATATACATTAAAATAAAATAAAATATATTTAATAGGTTAAGAAAAAATAAAATATATTTAATAAGTTAAGATGACAATAAAAAATATTTTTCAAAAAAATTAAGAATTAAGATATATAAAATATTATATTCATATTTTTTGTTAATATAAAATATTATATTTATATTATATTAATAAATAATATATAATATTAAATTATATAATTAAATAAAAATTTTAATATGTTTAATATATTTGTATTTTTTTATTAATGTAAAAAACATTCTTAATTTTTATTTATTAGTTGTATTGTTTGTTGTATAAAGAAAAGTTTATTAAGATATAAGATATATATTATTTATTCTATGACAATAACCAAATGGATGCCGTGGCCCAATAATGGTTTCGTGTTTTTCATTTCACCCAAGAGGTCTTTGGTTTGGATTCCACCTGCCCCTTATGCTTGGTTTATTTTCTTTCTACTAGAGAGTGACACGTGACATTCTCTTATTGGAGGAAAATAAATCTATAAATTAAAAATAAATTAGTCTTCCAATCTAATGATGACACATGTCATCATTTTAATTTATTAAAATAAGGACCAAATTGAAAGAATATATAAGTAACATTGACCAATTGTGTAATTATACCAAAATGTTTTTAACACCCACGTCACCCGTTCCGTTAACTCTTAACGACATATGACTTGATTGAAGCATTTAAATAGTTGAATGATTTGTTTGATCAAATTGAAACATCGGTGGTTAAAATAATTTTTTACCATTGTTTAGTGGTCACCCATGTAATTTATCCTTAAAATAATAATAACATTTTTTCGAAGAGGTAGTTGAGAAAATTTTAAAAATATTTAATGGTACGTTTATTTGAAATATTGAAAAAATAATTATAGATTATGAAATTGAAGAGTGTGAGATTGGAGTGATAAAAGAAAATATTTGAATGAGAATAGGTAAATTACATTTATAAGATGTTAAAATGGAGTGAAAATGACACACGATTGCTTATTCCTGTCTATGAGATGTATGGTCACACAAATCAAATAGTGGTGTATTACTATACTACACATGACCAGACCACTCATATATACATGATCACTATAAATAAATCTGGAACTCGTCAACTATCTTAAGCTACAGCAGTCGTAAATTATTACTTTATAGGAACACGTGTTATTCTTATTATACGTGCTAAGGCCGCTGCATTTTTCCATGTATTTTAAACTTGATTGATTTAATCTAGTTTTCTGATAAAATAATTGTATGGCCAAATTAGTTAAACCAAGAAGCAGAGAAATCATCACTTAATCACTTTAATGACGTGTTTAATCTATATTTCAAATTAAAAATAATCAAGAATGAGGATAGAATCTATAGACCTTTCCACCTATATATGTATATATATTCCATTTTCGGCCCAAAAACATAAAAAGAAGTGATGGGTACCAAATATATATTCCCTTACTGAAACCCAGATTCTTGAAATTTTGACCAGAACCATCAAGAAATCTGCTGAAATGACCCAATTTTCTTTTGCTTAAAACAAAACAAGAGCTACCTGCAAGTTCTTTCACATTGTTTGCAATTTGTTTGTCATATGAAGCATCATTGTAGGAAAAGGAAGAGAGTTTGCAAATATATCCATGGCATGCTTAGTTTGGAAGCAGTTTTGAGGCAGATTTCGATTCTTTTCAAGTTCTGGATTTTACAATCGTTACCATAAAAAAAGCAAACTTAGAAACAAGGTAGAGAAATGGATAAAAAAAGATCCTTACAAAACAGACTTGATTTCTTCCATCAGCACAAGAAACCGAAGTTACCATTGTCGAAGTTGAGAGCATAACTGAAGGGATCATAGTTGAACCTAAACTTCTGCTTGGATGTCGACCTACCCTTCACTTGTCTCCTTATCTCTGCTCTAACCTTCCAAAACAAGCTCCTTAGCTTCCTCTTCCCACACAAAACCACCTCATTTGGATCAAAACACAACCCCATTTTCTCAGATCAAACTTGTGGGGGTTGCAGGGCCAGGAATTATATAGTAATGAAAAGTAAAAAGTTAAAGCTTTGAGAACACACAAGGCTAAGTGGTGTATTGTAGAAGCTGTCATGTTTTGAACCAGTAGTAGCTTGTCAAAAAGCAAAGTGCTGGTCGTGTTGGAGCAGTAATCGATGCAGAAAAAAAAAGTCATCTCTCTTTCCCTCTAATCTACTGTCCTATCGCTGCCAAGAAAGCCTACGGCGCTGTCTGTCTGTCTCATCTTATATGAAGTTAGAGGAAATATAGTGGGATGCTCACTCGTATCACATGGTTTTAATGACTTGAGAAACGAAACAAGATGTCAACAAGAGATTTGATACGGAGGAAATTAGTATATCGGCGTTTTTATTCAAACACACTCAAACAATCAATAATTATATGTCAGGTATCTATTGACTAAATTTGAGAGAAAATAACCTCAGTGATCAAAAATGTCTTATAATATACGATTTTAATCAACTTTTTTTGGATTTGCCAAAATGACCAACAAAATTGCAATGCAAAATAAAAATCGCAACGCGATCTCCAGAATCGTAAATCAGTTCCCAGAATCGCAACGCGATTTTGAAGAATCGCAACGCGATAGTACAAATTAGCATTGCGATTTTCCAGAATCGCAACGCGAATATGAAAATCGCAACGCGAACATATAAATCGCAACGCGATTCTGACTATCGCA